CGCCAAATTTTTCAAGCCCTGTATATATATCTATATATATACACACATACACTGCTTTGGGTCATGGGAGGACACTGGCACCCTGTCTCCCTGAAAATAAGACCTAGTACCATTTTGGGAATTGCTAAAATATAAGACCTACCCCGAAAATAATACCTAGTTGTGACCATTCCCAGGGCCGGTGGTGGCATACGGGGGAACTTGAAGAGCGGCGGGAGAGAATCAGCGGTGCCAGCGCTAGAGAAAGCGAGGCGGCAGCTGAGGGAGCAGAGCCGCATAAGCCGATTCTTCCTCTATAGCGCCGGCTCCTGTTACAGGTGGAATGATACCAAATGCACTCCGCCTGTGAGGAATTGATAGTGAAAGCGCGCTTCGCTCATTCTGGTTACCAAATTGCTCTTGGAAAGGTACGGCATCCCTGATTGCCCTGATCACCATATTCTTAACTTTGCCATTTTGGATTTGCGTTAACTTCGGATTGTTATACGTTAAAAAAAAATACCTACCCCGAAAATAAGACCTCGTGTGGTTTTTTGAGCCAAAAAAAATATAAGACAGTGTCTTATTTTCGGGGAAACACAGTATATGTCCTCCCATGAGCCTAAAAAGAACTATGGGGAAAAATACTTACCCCATAGTTCTCTTTTAAATCATCATCTATTTCCCATGGAAGGCAGTAAAAATAAGGAAAGAAACTGAAACTAGGAAATTCTTAAATTGTATTACAAAACAAATCAAAACATTTTTTATAATTTTGAGAAGGATCTTATTCTGCTCTCCCATATGTTCTGCAATATTTAGACACAATGATTCACAGTGGACCGGATTCTTGCAGATGCACATAATAATATTTTATGGTGCACTTTACTAATTAAGCCCCATGTCAGCACATGCACTGCTTGCTTCACCTCTGCTAAGCAGTGAATACACTCCATGGGTGAAAGAGCAATTTACTCACATTACATCTTGGCACACAATGGAAGATAAAGTCACATTATTTATTCAGTTTAGCTGCTGTAGTGATAACATTGCAATGAGTGAAATGGATGTAATCAACTCTGCTTCAAGATAGGAGGTCACTAAAGCAATACAGTAGAAAAAGAAGCAAGCCTCTTTTCAGAGAAATGGTTGTTATAAATACTCTGTTCTGCAATCTTCTTGTACTAGCAAGACAATGCGGCTGCCAATTAGAATCCATTACATGTTCCCAAAAAAAAAAGAACGATTGTATTTACTGTAAAATCTTTGCTTGGAGAGAGAAGTAAGGGGCTGGGTAAGCGATTCATTAAGGGACACAGGGGTTAAGGGACACAGGACCAGAAGTAAATCATAGACAACTGGGTTACACCTGTGCCTTCAGGAGGATTTAAACACTGGGCAAAAAAAACAAAACAATGGCCAAACAGGTATGACCCGTTCCACACCCAAGATGCTACAGCTTTTGAAAAACAGTATTGGCAGTAGATTACAAAACACAGTAGGACCTGTGTTCCCTAATTAACTCCAGGGAGTAAAAAAAAAAAAATCGGAGGAAAAGACCGCGTGTACCTTGCAAGTACAGCAGTGGCAGGAATAAAACCTCATGTTGAAGGAGGGAAGAGATTGTGTGTGTAATGTGTGTGTTTTAATAAGTGCGTGATGTGTGTGTTTCCTTACGCGTGTATGTGTTTTATTAAGTGTAGAAATGTTTGAATATGCGTGTTTCCATATTTTGCCTAAGGCCCCATTCACACTTTGCGCAAAATCCTGCTATTTCTCGCATTTTTGCCGCGCGATATCGCGAGAAGTCGCCGGCCAATGTTATTCAATGGAGCTGTTCTAATGTACAGCTCCATTTCGCCCGTCGCTTCAGCAGGACCCTTTTTCCCGCGGATGTCGCGCAATGTTTCTATTCTTGAATGCAGCCCGATTGTGAAGGTCGCGCGATCATCGCCCCGAACAGTCACGCTATCCCGGCCCCGCTTGTAAGGTATGTCGCTTGGTGTGAATGGGGCCTAAGGCAGTGATTTTGAACGTTTCTTAAACCCGAGCACCCGAACTGCAATAACGTACTAAACTTATTTTCAGCGCTGGCACTTTGGGGTAAATAAATTGATTTTGCGTCGCAGTTTGGGCACTCGGGTTCAAAAGGGTTCGCCATCACTGCTCTAGGGCATTCATTGCGGTGCATTCCCAGTTTCTCTCCTCCCCTCTGGGTGCTGCTCTAGAGACACGGAACAGCATCCAGCGGGGAGGAGAGAAGAGTTCAGGCAACCGAGCAGGGTGGGGAGGAGAGCTGTAAGCCACGATGTCCTGCACCGCCAAGCTCAGCCTCTTGTGACAGATCAGGATGAGGAGCGGTGTGGGGGCGGAGACAGCTGTCACAGGTGGCAGAGCCAAGTCTGGAGGAATCAGCTGTCAAAATAGACAGGGTTTTCCTCCCCACACCACCCACTCAGCCTCCTGTGACAGTGAGTCAGGATGGAGAGTGGTTACAAGCAGTCAGCAATCAGCTGATCGCTCACTGCTTGTAAATAATGGGAGGACATAGTATGTTACTGTGACCCCAATTATGAATGAACAGGAAGTTCTCTATGTCACGTCCTGTTCATTCATTATTTTGGATATAGTAAACATACTATCTCCACAGATTATGAATGAACAGGAAAACACTCAGTATAGAGGATTCCTGTTCATTCATTACAGGGGCTGCAGAAAAAGAAGACTCTGTGTTCTCAATCTCTCATTCTATTTTAAAAGGGAAATGTCAGGGGTCTGTTTAGACCCCTGATATTTCCCTAGAGCCCCTGACAGTAAAAAATATATATATATGTATAGAAAAATAAAAATAAAATATTTTTTTTAAAATATAAAAGGTTACAAAAAAAATTAAAAGATTTTGGTGCACCTCTACTATATTGTGCCATGCTCACAGAGGGCTAGGACTTACCATAGCTGTAAATTTAAAATGCACATTGAGGCCAACAAGTACACTAATGTACTGGAGAGAAGACTGAAAGTGCATGTATGCGTTTTACTTTAGGAGAGCTTTCCAGTGAATTGACTGAAATTCTACCAGTGTATGGCCAGCCTTAGGGACGACACTTTGCAGATGAGCCTTGGTGTGAATGTGGATGTACATATATTTGCACGTGTGCAACAAAAATCTGTTTTTAATCTAAATGTGAGAAGCAATTTAAGGGATTTCTGTGCTAAACAGCTGAAACAAAGCAAATGTTCCTATTCTTTAAACAAAGCACGGGTTACAGGCCTCTAGAAGTAGAAGTAACAATATTAACAGTGATCAGCAACAAATTGAGGTACGTACTTGGCCATTACACGCCTTACATTGTGAGCATACAAGGCAGGGTTCTTCTTCTCTTCTTCAGAAGGAGTATAAATTGGAAGAAACTAAAACATATAAATGAAAAAAAATTTTGTCATGAATATTCAGAATAGCATTGACCTCTACCTTGAAAAATGAATTTCTACTTTTCTTATTAGTCTGCATTTACAAAAACAGATTAGACAACTCCCACTGCTCTGCTATGGTTTTATCCAGTGAGCCTTTTCATAAATACACAGGTTCAGCTTCCATTCTCATGATAGCATTATATAGTACTTGATAGTGTTAATAGATATGATAGACACATTAGTCCAATTTGTTTAACATGGTGGTATTTTCAAGTTAAATATTTTAATATATGTAACTTGTTCAGAGATAGGAAAGTAAATATTCAGCAAAGCAAACATTATCTTGAGTTACATTCTGTTCCACGTGCAAGTTTGATTTATTGGCCGGGGAACACAGTAAAAAATTAAGTTGATGTAAATAGTGTATAAGGCTAGATACTCTGGATGGCATAGATAAGTAGCTAATGTGCGGCTTAGGTTGCTAACCACTGAACGCACAACCTATAATGGTAAACACATGGAACAGTACACATGCCAGTGGCTAAGAGGCTGATCTTTCCTAGGTGATCACTGAGACATTCCTTGCAGAGTACAATGGGCGTCAATCACTCAGAACTACAAGTGCTCAGTCCAACCTCCCCATTGATGGGAGCAGTCAGCAAGCAGGTATTAAGCCTTCTCAACAGTCTTAGATACTAAATGGTTCAGCATAAAGTCTATTCAGCAACTATATGGATTAAAGGAATAATCGGACTTTGTACTTTTGTACAGTTCTCCTTTAACTGACCCTAACTCACCTGTCCTCCATTCTGACAGTTCCCTGGTGTATGGCCTGCTAAGCGGGGTAAGCATTGGTGTGCAATCTCGCCATGTTTCATGTTAGACCCTAACTTTGGGTGTCACATGAAACATGGTCAGAAACGTGAACATAGCCTTTAGTGTTTACCATAGTTACCCTGCTGTCTATCAATAGATTTAAACACAGTCTGTCCTAACAAAGGGTTAAAGATCTAGAAGCCTAGCTACTGCATTGCTTGTGAATGAGGGCAAACTCGATTTGTCGCCAGTCTTTGTATGGGGACAGACTTACTTTGAAATTGCTAAGAGTAGCCTAAAGTCTGCCCAAAGGCCTGCTCCAAAATACCACAAAAGGTAAGAAATGTTTAAAATATTTTTAGGTATGCTGTATGAATGGGAACACATACCAAACATATAGTGGGGCTTTGACTGCAAAAGTGGATATATACTTTAAGTACAGTTATCCTTTAAACACTAAAATACAACAAATATGGTAATTCAGAAAGTATCAACTAAGAAAAAAGGGTTAAAAATGTATACACTGCACACAGGAAACATTATACAAAACAACATTCTAATTAAAGGCTCCTTACCTCAATTTCTACATAGTTGTGAAACTGGCATAAAGAAAGCCAAAGTATTTTCATTCTGAAGAAAACAAACATAAATGTATGTAAATGTATTTATCTGCATTTCGTATGTATCACATTTCTGGAGCTTTTCTCTCTGCTATTTACATAGTTAGAGCTAGAATATACTAAAACATATAACATTTTGTATAGACTTTAAATAATGCTCTTCTAATTCTAATAAAATATTAGCCAACTCAGAGCAGGCATAAATGGAAAAAAAAAAAAAAAGTTTGAACCTCTGAGGATTTTATTGCAGTCTCTTCCTTCCTGATCTCTTGTCTTGATGTAGCAGGGACAAAGATTAAGGGGAAATATTCCCAATGAATTTGTAGATAGCAATTTCTCCACGCTAACCAAAACTAACATCAAAATGTTAGGAGCTGGGCTTCAGGATTTCAATGTACCTTGCAACACAATATTCATGCAGTTTGCAGGCATAAAGTTACTTTAACCCCTTTGTGACGGGACAAGTACACTGTACGTTCCCGCCACAAAGTGCCCAAATGACTGATCACGTACAGTGTACATGATCAGCTATTTGGAACTGTCAAAAGCTGGTAATCGCTGAGATCAGTATTGAGGCATCCATTAATAAAAGAATCACGCTTTTGTAAAAGTTTAATTATTCAAAAACTTAGGCTTTGACAGATACCTGATCACTTGTAGTGATCCGGTAACTCACAGTAATAGCTGTGGAGTATTTACCGCACTTACCATCACTATTTGACAGGATTAGGAAATCCCGCTGTGTATCAGCTTTTTGCTACATGTTTCAGCAATAGAAACATTTAACAAAATGTTTCTTTCTTGAAACATTGTAATCAGACTTCTGATCATTCAAGAAAAGCATTTCAGGGTCACTAAGGTTATTATTGGCTGTTCATAAGATTGGAGCAGCCTAATAATAACAACCAAACATTAATTAAATTATCAAGCAGTCATAGTGAGATCCATTCACAAAGACTGCTCGATAGAAGTTAAATGAAAAAAAAAAAAAAGTGTAATAAACAAATTGTGTAAAGTGTAAAAAAAATTAAAATGTATTTAAAACAAAAAAAATCAATATACATGTATTTTTATATTATACATATTATGAAAATTAACCCTTAACAATGAAGATCTGCAGCTGAGCTGCAGATTTGTTTTTCACCCTAAGGGCTAATTTCTTTTTAAAATGTAACCCCCTCATGTTGGCGAAGTTCAAAGCGTGACACTTAGTGAAAGTGACATTGTATGCCACTAACCTAACCACTATTTGGAGAAAAAAAAACTAAAATGTAAGCTTTTAGTTTTAGGCTGAAAACTACAGGGGGAAAAAAATGAAAAATCATAGTAAAAATACATTAATTTATTTTAATGCATTTTTTAAAGCTATGCTATTTTTCTAAAAAAAAAAAAATAATATTTAAAACTGGGGAAAATAGGTTTTTATTTTGTTCCTCTTTTTTATATTTTATTCATACTAAGTGAGGTTTTAGGCACACATATGTGATCTAAATATATAGCCCTATTTGTCCTCTAAAAAACAATATATAATAATATGTGTGGGTGCACTTAGTCAGAAAGTATATTACTGCCGTGGAAGAATCACACAACAAAAATGTAAAAAGTGAGTCAGTCATTAACTAACAGAAACTGAAAAAAGGCTCAGTCATGAAGGGGTTAAACTTACCAATGTTTTTAATGTTTATAGTTTTAATATTTTAAGTAATATCCAGCATTTAGTAAGGCGTTCCTGGGTATGACGTGCATTTGAAATTCACGTCAAATGCAGGGTGGTGGATTCCTATTGACTTTAATGGAGTGGTGTAGATGAGTTTAGCGTTGCTTCGGATGCAGCAAGTGCTATTAAAATATGTTTGCATTTTGTTTTGCCCTGATAACTGTACTCCCTACAACCTGCCCTGAGCAAGGCAATACAATTAGTAAAATATTTCTAAACCTATTACATGCAGTTGTTGAGTAAAAGTAGCAAACAATAGCAGAGAAGATCTTACACATTTGAGTTTACCAGAGGACAATAAATATTTTTGTGTGCAACATAAAATTGATAAATGTACCCATGCTGTGTGCACAGAACGCAATTAAAAAACAAAACAAAAAAAAAACACTTACGCTCCAGGACCCTGCCATGTCCAGGTTATTGTGTCCTAGAAAATAAACAAAGAAACTTGAAGATATAGCAGCAGTTTCCTGAAAATGCTATTTTAGCACTTTTACCTGCACAGCAAAAGCAGGAGAGACTATCGCCCCAAGGGATGTGGTGGGGGCACAGTTAGGATGGGAGCCTCTCCTGCCTCCAAAAGACTGGGCTATAAAACTTGAGAACCTGGGAGCGCTACTCACCTGCTGTAAACAGTGGGTATTCTTTGTCAGTCAGCGTGACAGATCTTGCTCTTCCTTCATTAATTTATTTTATCTGCCAATAATGCCAGCACAGTGGCATAGTGGTTAGCATTTCTGCCTTGGTGAGGACACTATCTGCAAGGAGTTTGCATGTTCTCCCTGTGTTTGTGTGGGTTTCCTCCCACACTTAAAGGACCACCGGATGGTTAATTGGCTCCTGTCTAAACTGGCCCTGTATATATGCAAGTGATATAGGGACCTTAGATTGGAAGCTCCTTGAGGGAAGGGACTGATGTGAATGTGCACTATGTATAGTGCTGCATAAATTGTTGGTAGTATATAAATACCAATAATAAAGAAGTAAATGTTGAGTGATAATAAAGTTAACTGTTTTTTAAGCCATTTCAAATGCTGAATAAATCACTATCATTGCATTCTGCTCCTTGATGGTCAAAAGTTATAGCTTCATGCAAAATAAGCTGGTGCTCTAAGCACTGATCCTGATATACTGTTTTAAGGGGGCTCCTTTCCCCTGCAGGGTCCTATATGTGCTAGTAAGCGGTGTTTCCACAATCATACAGGTATAGAAAGGAAAGACACTCCCGTGCTCCTCCCTCCTCCAAGCTAGTAGATGGACAGCTGCTGGAGACTGCTGTCCCTTGTGATCTTGTACTGGAAAGGAAGTTCAGGAAAGCCAAGTTAGAGCCAGCTGTATAGAAAAATGATAGTAAAATTTGTAGAAAATACTTTGCTGTGCTAAGTATATTTGTTTGATCTGGATTCATTTATAATTATAATGCCTTTATAAAAAAAAGAGGCATATGAAAGAATAATATTGGTAGTGTGGATGAAGTAGTTTAGAGATGGAAGTACAGATTTTGGTTACCTTAATGTTAATATAAATCTGGCTCTGTTTCACAATGCTTTCACAATTCACACTCGTTTAGTCATGTTGCGACACAACACCGTCTGCTTTATTTTTCCATGGTCCACAAGAAGGTAACCCCAGAGCCACCAGCCAGTGACTCTCCTTTCTGTGCCCTGCTCTGAAAGATTTGAAAATTCAGAGAGAAAAGCTGATTGGCTGCTGTGCAAATCTGCTTCAGATTTTATCTGCTCCATTTTTGATAAACTCCCCCCAATGTGTTTTGTTGCGGTGTGTGTGTCCATTAACCTCACCACATACGTTACAATCTGACTGTACAATCTTCATCTACCAACAACTATGTAGTGCAAGTGCCTGCCTGACTGGATACAAATTGATTGGATAGTTTAGGTAGGTCCTCCCGTTACATTGTTTTGGTAAATGTAAAGCTGATTATACAAATATTGTAAGGTCAGATTGTAATTGTATAGTGTTCCCTATTGTGGCCACACAAATACCGATCACTCGTTCATTCGATTAGCTACATGTGATAATTGTATACGATCACAATACAACCGATAATATGGTCGATTCAACATATACGCTTAAGGGGATTTCGATCAATCCATTCCCGGTACAATCATAACTAATCAATCGGTCACATTTTTACATTCTGATCGATCAGAAGCTATTGGTCAAGCAGTAATTCTAACTTCCTGTTTGTTCTGCTGAGGGAGGATTTCTGTGAGTGATTGTATCCAGCAACACTTTTTGAATCCTGTTGTGGCACCCCAAAATATTGCCAAAGTTCAGAAAGGTTGGGCTCTCCTTATGCTAGATTATTTATGTAATAATTACCACACCAAACAATGAAAAATATGGACTAAAAAGTGGCTGAAGAAAAGGGAGAACATTTCACATATTTAGATATTTCATAAACTAAAAAAGTCAAACAACTGATTGATTTGATTTACCCCAATTTGATCTACTTTGTAGAATCGCACATTGACCGTATCATAAAATCGCTATGTGTGTGGCCACCTTTAGGGCCTGTTTCCACCAGCCAGCATGTCTACCGCAATGTCCTGTGCCCGAAACTCAAGTGCATGCACTTTTTGTGATTGCACCGCACTGGAACAAAGTGCATTTTAGTACCACGCATTCGCGTGCGGACAATCGTACTGCGGGTGGGGGGCGTGTCTGCAGTGCGATCGACTTAAATGGCACTGCCCCAGAACGCAAAAGACTTTATGTATGCAACACCTTGCGTTCCGGGCACAGGATATTGCAGTAGATGTGCGGGCTGGTGGAAACAAGCCCTTAGAGAGACTTTACCCATCACTACCTGTCCCTGCGAAACCCTGCCCTCAGGACAGGAAGAAGGGGAAATCTCCCCAAAAGAGACACACACAGTAGTACAAACCTGACAGAAGTTCTAACCTTTTCCCATTCTATACAAAAGTACAATACGTTTTTCACTGGTGTGGGTTCCAACATTAACTTCCATGCAAAACTGCTATAACCTGAAGAAAAATATCAGGTGAAATAGTGCAGTGAAACAAAAGGTAATTTGTCAAACTCTAGAAGACAAACATGGAAATACAAAGTTAAATAATCCTCTTCTAGCAGCAAAGAATCAGCATAGATATAAGTCAGGTCACCTATGTTGTAGTATAAACACTATCATCTAGAATGGAAGGAGTTAAGTTCTCACGTGCCACTTAATGTGACAGTTCTGCTCTCAGCTCCAGGGAAAAGTTCTGGCTTGCACTTCGCAGCTATTGGTTTTGTAAACAAAATACATTACAGTCAAGGGATTTTGTAAATTCCCAAAAGCCAAATGACTTACCTTTATTTATTTTCTGTCACAAATAGTGACTCGGGGACAGAAGTGATTTAAACCTGGTCCACCTTCCCAGATGGTGCACAGAAGATTTAATCAATATTTACTGCACCATGTGGGTTATAGACACTTCTGCTCATCCCATACATTGTCTTCATTTCAACAGCCAAAGGCCAAACCGCAATATAATTCATGTGAATTTAAACATATTTACACAAAAAACGCATCCCGCACGTACACCGTCACAGCATTTAGTAAATGGGTTTTTGGGATGAATAATTACGCTAAATTGTTTAAGTGACCACAATAAAACTACTGATTAGATTCAAAGTTATATTGAGCAACGCCAGTTGCTATTTTTATATACCATGATGCATCCAGATTTCTAGAGTGATTATTAAAATTGTGGATGTTTGTAGTATTAAACTCTCACCCTTTTTTTTAGTATTGTATCTAGATCAAACAAATATACATTGCCCAGCAAATTATTGCTTTACATTTTTGGCCCAAACACCATCACATTTCCAAACAGCTGACTCCAACTCTCTCAGGTCAGCTTTCCTGAACTTCCTGTCCAGTACAGGACCACAAGGGACAGATCAGTCTCCAGCAGCTGTCCACCTACTAGCTTGAAAAAAGAAGGTTGGAGGAAGGAAGCGATGGGAGCAGGGAGGAGGAAAGTGACTTGCCTTGCTGTGCCTGTGTGTGTGTGTAGACACGCACGCACACCTTACTAGCACACATAAGGGTGGCTCCATAGTCACCTGCATGGGAAAGGAGCCACCCTAAGGCCTGGTTCTAACCATCTGCATTTGTTTTTTTTCCAGTACAGCCTGAACGCAAGTGCAATTTGCCTTGTCATGGAAGGGCTTACTTCACACCAACGCGGTAATATGCCCTTAAAGGGTTTCTAAACCCTCCGGCTTTTATGCATATATCTACTGCTAGCAAGCAGTATATATGTGCAAAAAGTAAAAAAAAAACACTTTAAAAGCGGTTTAAACTTACCGCTGTCTTCGCCGCGCAGTCCCGTCCGAAAACCCAAAACTGCTCGGGCGGACGCAAAGCATCTTGGGGCGGGCGCATGCGCAGTTTGGATTTTCGACCGGGAGACGAGGAGAGGCGCAATGTAAGTCTATGGACGCGTGCACCCGCATGCCGGCACCGTGGGACAGGAAGTGCCAGCAAGGACAGAGGAGTCAGCGCTGGATCGGACACCCGACGCAGCGCTGGAGAGAAGGCTGAAAAGGACAGAAAAGAAGAGGAAGATCGGATTAAGAAACATCATTTAAGGTAAGTGATGACATTTACATTGGGGGGAGGGAAAACATTTTTTGACTTTAATGTCACTTTAAATAAAAAATGGCATATGGTACTTTTTTTATAAGTGCATCACATCCCCGTGAGCCCATAGAACTGAATGAAATGTCACTTGTGCCATTTCAATATAGTTCTAAAAAAAAAGAAACAGTGCAATGCAGCTCGATTGAGCACATCTGCACTGTCCGGGAACACGCACACCAGTAACTGTGCAGTTGAGCGTGGCTGCTGGTGTGAACACACCCTAAAACAGGATATTAGGGCCAGTGCTTTTGATTAATATCACGTTAAGCCTATGATGCCTATGATGTGTATGCTGGGTTATGTTTGCAGGAGTGTCAAAAATAGAACCAAAAAAAAATCAGGATTGCTTGAGCCATGCTCTGCACGTCTGACTTCTCCATATTTATAGGCCTTGTCATTTGTTGCATCTCCGAAAATTATGACAGCAGTGTATGTGATATCTGTACAGTCTTAATCGGACTCTAGGATTCTGTAGGGCAGCTATCTGGGTGTGCCATTGTCTGATACGCTTGAGCACTTTTTTTTCCCGCAGACTTTTCTTGGCAAAGTTTTTTTTATAAAGCAGGTTGTTAGATCTTTCCTCAACCCCCAATTACACAGGCTTGGATCTGGCATGCATAATGGAATAACACATGTGCATATCCAATTTGTACAAACATACAAGGGCCAAGTTTGACAGGAGCTAATTAACCTACCAGCATGTCTCTACAATGCAGGAGGGAGTACCCAGGTGAACCTATTGGGACAAAGAGAGAACCAAGGACCCCAGTGTGGCAAGACATAAGTGCTAAACACTAAGCAACTGTGCCACCCTTTCCAGCAGTATGAAAAGGCAAAAGCAGGACACTATAAAAGGTGTTGAAAATACATATTATTTACATGTACCAAAGTTATAGTACTTACCATTTTATTTGGGTATCTCAAAACCACTGGCTGGACTGGCACAGCAGGAATAAATGCACCTAGAACAGAAAGACAGTTATCCTATCAATTATTTAATGTAGTAATATCCATTTAGTGAGCTTTAGGGTGCATTCATACTTCTGCACCTAAATTTGCATGTATTCTTACTGCATTTTCCACATACTGTGGTGTGTGTGGTCTGATTTTTTTTTTATGCATTTTGTATATGGTTTCCTTTATGTGTATTTTTACTAAATTGCACATAAAATGCATATATAGTGAATTCTTCAATCTTCCAAACTACTGCAGACCACTTTTTTGTACAAACACAGCCATAAAATCTACATGCCAAAATGCACAGAGGACGACACGTCATCTATTGACTATGCCGGCAGATTTCATCATACATTTAATTAGAAGCTTTTCTTGCATTTAAAAGGAACACGGATGTCATTTTAAATTTAGCCTGGCAAGGTGTCAGTAAAATTTTTTTGTTTTTATCATGTTTGTTATTGTGTATGTCTTGCACCTCTGGGATGTCAGAGCTTTCACTGCCCCCCTAATCCACTTGAACAGCAAATCTGTCTCATCTTTCATTGTTTCTGCCATACAGTATATCACTATAGCATGGATATACTATAACCAGTGGTATATGTACCCCAGGCTATATTTTTTCATTGGGGATGCCTCATAACAATGTGGAGATTCAACGAATCGTTAAAATGGATATCAGCAAGTATTTTAGATATTTCAAATTGTGGATGTGTGGTTAGCAGCATCCATTAAAAAATGTTCATCTATGGGTATGTGTATGGGTATGTCAGATACAGCCAACGCGTTTCAGGGGAATCAAACTTCCCCTACTTCAGGGCTTGTGCAACAATATGTGGTGGATTCAGGAAAAACTGTACTTTGTAGCCTGAATAAGGGCTGGATGAGCACTGTTTGCAGTGAAGAATAAATCCTGACAGATTCATTCCTCATTGCAAATAGCACTATTCCAGCTGTAATTCAGGCTCTCCCATCCCTAATTCAGGTATGAATCCTGACAGATTCATTCTTCACAGGTTCACTTTATTACCCTTCATGCTTAAGGTTACACAGGTTCACTTTATCACACTTCATAAGGGGTTACAGCAAAGTGTCTCTTTCCAAAATATTGCCAAATTTGACCATATGCTGATTCTCTTTTTGTCCTGTGCAGTACTGTTGCAACGAGGAACAATGCACTATAACGTAACTCTTTTTAATCTTGGTTGGAGAAAGGCGGGGTTTGACCAGCAAATGGGTCATTGTTGCCATCTGTGCTCTCTCTCCTATTTAGTGTGAGGAATAGACTAGGGGGCTGGTGATACCATAAAACATCTGCTACACAGGCTCCTGTTTGTGCTCCTAAAATGCAGAGACTGTCCTGTTGTAGTTTGCAGGGCACTGCAGTTACTTTGACACCTACAGTGATCTCTGAGCATCAGAAGAACTGATAGTCATCCTGCTCTGTGTTTTAGAGATGCTATCAAGCTTACAATAACCTTGCCAGTAAATATGCATGTATTGCCCAGTGTTGGATTATAACTGGGTTTCTCAACCTTTTTTCAGTCAGGGCACCCTTTCAAAGTATGCAAAATCATGAGCCACCCCAGCAGTCTAAAATTCTATAAACTGTAAATTTAAAAAATGATGTATAGTTCCCCCCAAATCTATAGCAGACCCTTAACTTGATAACTTGTGGGGGAGGGGGGGGGATTGTCAAGCACAAATGGAGGATTTGGCTCAGTCAGGAAGGCCAAACGTTATACAGGAGTCTTTAGTTGTACTTTAAGAAAACTGCATACAGTGAAGTATGATGCCAAACATACAAAACAAATTGGATTTTTGTACACACCATGAAATTCTTTTTTTTGGATGTTCACTGAGAATCATCTTTGGGATCCTTAAATACTGGCACATCCTCTACAAGAATTGTCACTGCTTTGTTAGGGAAGGACACCACCAGGTCAAATGTAGAAACCACCCACTTTTTGATGAAGGTTTCCACAAACGAGTATTGGATTGCAAAACGTTTGGGAGGTGTAAAAGGTTTATCAGGAGTAAACCAGTCTGCATATAGGTTGTCTGAGAATATCATGTACATGGAAAAAGTTTTAGTAGATCTCTTATGATCTTATACGGGTAGCAGCACTGGTGGAAGTTACTGGCTGCTCCTCCATCTTAAGGTTTGCATGTACCACATCAAAAAGAGCCAAAACTGTCTCTCTCAGCCTAGGTTAAAATTGTAACTTGGCCCATATAATCCTGCATAACTGCAGTGAAATCCTCTAATGTTAAAGTCAAGGAGGGAAATCACACCCAACAAAGCCAAAGTGGGGAGCAGGGGACAGCTTTCCAGGCTTTTAGTGTCAGGCCCTTGAACAAAATCACTGCAGACCACCTTGTAAATGTTAGAGGACTGTAAGCCAGAAGCTCCCATCACAATGGGACTGCTTCTCTTGTGTTTTGGATCTGATATGTAGTACGGCAAACAGGGTATTACATACAAGTTGTCCCTAAGGTAAAACGTTGAATATTCACTGGATGCAGGAGTGGTTCAAAAGGCCAGAGGTCTCTTCTAAGTACAGAAAAAATGCATTGCTTTGGGTTATTGCATTGTGCATGGTCTTATTAAATAAGCCAGAATCTCAATTCACTTACACCAAACCTTCAATAAAAAAAACACATTGACAAACATGGGTCACGGCAAGTACCATATAGTTTCACCTTCAAGCCAAAATATTTGATTTTAAAAAGAGGATTACATTTATCATGGCTCAGGACTCATGTACAGTGAAGCTCAGCTTATCTACTCAGCATTTCCCACTGAAGGGATACAAATGATACAATTACTATATGCACAGTTGCACCTCACTTAGATCAGGCAAGCTTTTGTTTGTCAAAAAATTGAAATCATGATCTAGAGATGGAGACAATATCACACAAGATAACCAAAATACTAAGCCAAAAACAATATATAAGAGGCATGGAACAGCTTTAAAAAGGCAAAAGGAAAAGCTCCAGAAACAATAATAAAAAAGGCTGTTACTAAAAGCTGTGGGTACAGCCAGACAGTATTATGCCCAAGCAAACAGTCGTGACTTTTTGTTTGACATAAATGAACAGATAGTGGCTCGAAAGATCCGAGAGCTATACATTCATAATCCCGCCTTATATGATCTGTCACTTCTACTTTTCATTCTCAAAACACATGTGCAGACAAGGGATCAGAGACAAATGAACTTAGGAGCATTATGATTTCAATATCCTCAATCATACAATAGAAATGTTCCAAAATGCTAGGAGTAATTGTTCTCATTCATGAACCTTAATACATGCTCATTACTTTATATATATTTTAGCTGTCCAAAGGCATTAAATATCAACAGGATCAACTTCAAAATCTTTTTTCTACAGTAGAAAAGGTAAGCTGGTACTCTATAAACAGATACCACTGCTGCGCCTATCTAGGTTATCTGATAAACAGCAGGTTGGGGGGGATAATGTTAAATCTATCAGTTGGATTTTTAAAATGCTTTCTGGGGTCAAAAGGTGCACACAGATTCCGTTCGCCCACATCATCATCATCCATCAGGAATCAGAAAGGTTTAATTATGATATTCATATGAATACTTTATTTCATTTACTAAATGAAATGATTTCTAATAAAAATTAAAAGGTTATGTGCATTCATTTCTGCCCTTAATAGGTTTAAATGTTTTCAAAAGGCAAATAGCTTATTTTATCAAAAGAGTAGAAAAAAATGCTATTGCACACCAGAAAGCAAACCAATAGATTACACTGTAGATAATTTGAAAACAACACAGAGCAGTTTGTTATTATTAATACCAGGAAAAAAACAGGAAGCCAGAAAAAATGGTGGCAAGGTGACCTAAACAAAAACAAAACCCTAATGGGCAGTACACTCTGGTGAATAAATAAATGGAAGACCTGCTTTACTCACAGCCCTCCACCCCCAATTATACAGCTTATAAAACCCTGAAAGAAAAAAAAACTCACCTAGGTTTCGGGATTTGATGCTTGTAGGAGGTGTGGGTATCATCACATTGTCCTACTGTTGCCTCTTGGGGAAGTGAACGCTTGAAATTTTGAGTGCCCAGATTTTCCAGGAGGCATTGGGGGGTAAAAGTGGACCTTCCATTTTTATGGAATGTCCACTTAATCATTGAAGAGCAAAACTAAACCTTTGCTTAATATCTTTTTCACAAGTATTGAATATAAATGGTAATTATCCCCCTTTCACTAAAAGGGTACTTTGGTTACTCCTGTGTTAATATCAATATTACTATCTGATACTCTAGTAAAGCAAAATACAACAGCTGATGAAATGTCAATGATGTAAATTAATGTGTGCAAACAAAAAGTACATAAATGAGGGTTCGTTCAACACACAGACAAGGTAAATAATAATGTAATACTGTACAAATATCTGCTCCACTTAAACCAGAATTCACAAACGCTGCACAATACACACAGCTGGAAAAGCTGGCATAGACTGAATGAAGCTTTTGTGATTTCGGCAAAGACACAAGAGCAATCTAGAGAACTGGCATAAAACATGCCGTACATTCAGCTAGATTTAATGCCACAAAATATTAATTTCCTACCAGGTTTGAAGGTGATGAGGCAAGATCTGTTGGTGCATGTTCCTTCTGGAAAGATCATTACCTGTAAACAAGAGAATAGAAAAGTAAATGATCCACCTAAAACTAGCAACAACAGAGGAAAAAAAGGATAGTATGAGATACTGTGCATTCTGAATATACTGTACTGGCTAGCAAAGAATATTACATATACACTTAGGCTCGGTTCATCCCATTGCATATGCATTTTCCTGCGTTTTTTATGCACATTTTTCAAGCGCTGCCACTGGAGTCTATGAGGCCAAAAATATGAATTGGTTCGCCAAAAATTCACCTGTACTATCTTTTTCGAATGCACTGTGCAGTGTAGCGCACAGGTGTAGCCCCATAAAGAGGAACTGTATGTATATTTTTAAAATAACTACAAAGGCGCCTTTAGAAATGTTTAGTAATGACAATCTACAAACACATACCTTTTACTTACTGGAACTCTAGCACATGTGACTAGAACATGTGACCGTGCACATCTTCTAAGGGGAGGAAAATGCCTTTCCCTGAAATCTCGTGAGATTACAAATGAAATTTCCCAGCACTTTTCTGCTGATGTAACCTTCCGGGGGGAAATGCTTGGGCACGATTACATAATTTGTGCCAAACAGGACCGGGAAGTGGAAAAAAGAAATTGTAAGTAAAAATATGTTTAACAAATAACAAATAAATGTAAGATAATTTCTTATCAGCATGCAGAGCTGCATGCTGATGTGATTTTTAGTGGAAAGGGGTAACAGTCCACTTTAAGCAGAAATTGACCCCATTTACACCAAAAATGCAAGCCGCAAACTTATTATGTAAAAACAGCTGAACAAGTAGCCCAAACAATAGGGCATGGCAGTGCATTGATTAGATCTTCATTGCGCTTCCGTGTATATGTTTACAGACATCTACAAAATGAAGCTACATTTAATTTTTACCAGTGAAGGCATAACTGGATTTACCTGCGTTTTTTTAGTTTACCTTTAAAATGTATTTCCATTTTTAGAGCCAAATCGGGTTAACACCCAATATATTTGTTACATGTTCCCATTCACAAAGCATTATAAAAAAACAACTACAATGGCCGCTTACTTTTTTTACTTGATGAGAAATCTTACTTAGTTTTCCCCTTCTATGTAATGTTAAGGAGGGGGCTGGGGTGTTATGTGCATCATATTTACCCTTGTGTGTACTGTGCTGGCAGATCTACATTTTCACTTGTAGAATAGATGTGCACACTGTCTGCCCTAAGAAAGGGTTAAACATTGCAAGGCTTGGGTGGTACATTGTATTTAAGGCCCCATTTACACCCGGGGGCTGAACAAATTCCTCAGGGATACCCATGTGATCTCCAGCGGGTGGAAGGGGCTGTAGAACACAACAGCAGCTGACACCACCCACAAACAGTCTGCACCCAGGTACGATCATCCACAGGTAATCACAGACTGTTGAAATACTTGTGAACAGCAGTGGCAGCTGTCATTCGATTATACAGCGCCTCCCTCCTGCAGGAGATCGCATACGGAGGAATTTGTGAGACTGGTGTGATCTGCCCCATTCGCAGGGTGAAACTGCCCCTCATCTAACTGCACATTGCAAGGTGAACAGTACAAGCTGACTATAGAACCCTCCATATAAATCTGCTCCAAAAAGCAACCAGAAATTTAAGAAATATAGGTTTAATTATTTTTAGGTATGCTGTGTGAGCGGGAACACATAATAGCAGGGTTTTCTCAACTTCAAAAGTACAGATATATTTTAACCTTAATTCCTTGTCTTTTGTCATTTAAGGCTAAAAAGTCTTCCTTAATCTACAACTAATGCAAAAAGATTTGGTTTAATCTGTTAAACTGACTATAGTAAAGAGACATTTATTCTGATTTCCATCGAACAGTGCTATACAAGTAACCAGTACTCAGTGCCCTTTAGGTAACAGTCCCTTGAAACATTAAACATCCCTGTATATGTGACAAGCCCATAGCATATCTTCATTATCTATACACGCTCTCTGGAGACGATGCCAGGTGTTCTCAGAAAATAAGGGCAACCACAGGACAGATAAATCAAAGATTTCATATATCAGAGGAATATAAGAAAATGTATTTTTAGCAACACTGTTTATACTTCTGCTGTGAACATGTTTTTTATCACCACACTTTAAGCATACTATAACAACTACAAAACAGATCACTTATTTGCTCAACATACGTCAATAGCCTTTTTTATTGGTTTTGGATGTAGTGGGGAAGGATTAGGTAGCATTGCTGTTTGGGGCTACGTTAGAGAGATTTCCTCTCACTTCCTGTTTTGCTGACACCATTTTACCAGACAGGAAGTGAGGTAAATCCACCAATGGCGACACAGACAGAAGTAAAAACATGTTTTGTTTTGTTTTTTTCAGTAGGGGAAAGCTAAAATCTCTATCAGATTTGTACTGTCTGTTTCTCTATTGCAGATTTTCCCTTACTTCCGCTCAGGTACATTTTAACTGTTTTGCTGCCACCGACATATGCCGTATGTCGCTGGGAGTGGGCCCCTGTAAACGGACTCCCAGCAGCTATCTGTTTAGCTGTGTAAAGCTGACCGTTGGCTTTACACTGGAAGCGATTCTGGTGGCTAAGCTGACGGCAGATCAGTTCCAGATGCCAGTGAAGAGAGTTCCCCCCACTGCCCCTCCTGAGGCTTGAGACCTGCATTACAGGTGTCGGTGGATAGAGGGGAGATAGACCATCCATTCACTAATCTTTTCTCTGCTGAATTGAACAGGAAGCAACACTGTTTGCATTACTTCCGTCTCCTCAGGCTAGAGAAGCCAGGGAAGAAGCTATTCAAGTGCGATCTCTGCCCCCTAATGTAAACCCCTAATGTCACCAAAGAGAATGAGTTGTGTAAAGATTTATTTTATGTACTCATGCAAGGTAAGAGCCAAGCATTTTACACACCTGTGGCCATGTACCATTAGAGTGGGCTCGTCTTCGAATTTCCTCTACCGTCTTCTTCCGAGAGTCCTGATCTGAGCGAGAAACAAATACTGGCCTAATGTAGTTGATTAATGCTGTGAAGAAAGAAAAAAATACATTTGTATATAAAAGTCCTTTTTTAGTCTAGGAAATTCAGTTAAACCTGTACTGTATAAAAAAGTTAAAGCACATTGTAGGAATACAATGCAAATAAGGCAAGCGCACACCAGAATTTAGTATTGCTTAATGATTCATACAGAATAATAAAAGCTAATTTGTTATAAAATGAATATATAACTTCCGGTATCTAATACATTAGAACAGGATCAGGTAATTGTTTACAATCTAATCAACATGTAATAGTTTCACAAACCTTGCTTTTATCCCTAGTTTTAACTATGTTCACAGGCCAGAAATATTTTTGAATACCATGTGTATAATGGGCTATTTAGTAGTACAGTCTTTACAGAGTGACTGTGCTTTACCACTCCCTTTACATCAGTGTAGTCTTTCACACAAAACTTTAAACTGTTTGGGGGCAGTGGTGGTCAACTTCATTTATTTTAAGGTGTGCACATAATATTCAATAAATGTAATGCTGCATAAAGCTGTCAGAGACTACAGACATGCTATAGGAATTGTTTCAGACTGGGGACATGCTATGAGAGTTGTTTCAGACTGGGGACATGCTATGGGAGTTGTTGTAGACTGGGGACATGCTATGGGAGTTGTTGTAGACTGGGGACATGCTATAGGAGTTGTTGCAGACTGGGGACATGCTATGGGAGTTGTTGCAGACTGGGGACACGCTATGGGAGTTGTTGCAGACTGGGGGCATGCTATAGGAGTTTTTGCAGACTGGGGACATGCTATGGGAGTTGTTGTAGACTGGGGACATGCTATGGGAGTTGTTGTAGACTGGGGACATGCTATGGGAGTTGTTGTAGACTGAGGACATGCTATAGGAGTTGTTGTAGACTGGAGACATGCTATCGGAGTTGTTGCAGACTGGGGACACCCTATGGGAGTTGTTGTAGACTGGGGGCATGCTATAGGAGTGGTTGTAGACTGGGGACATGCTATAGGAGTTGTTGTAGACAGGGGACATGCTATGGGAGTTGTTGTAGACGGGGGACATGCTATAGGAGTTGTTGTAGACTGGGGACATGCTATAGGAGTTGTTGCAGACTGGGGACACGCTATGGGAGTTGTTGCAGACTGGGGACATGCTATAGGAGTTGTTGCAGGCTGGGGACACGCTATGGGAGTTGTTGCAGACTGGGGACATGCTATAGGAGTTGTTGCAGACTGGGGACATGCTATAGGAGTTGTTGCAGGCTGGGGACATGCTATAGGAGTTGTTGCAGACTGGGGACATGCTATAGGAGTTGTTGCAGGCTGGGGACATGCTATGGGAGTTGTTGTAGACTGGGGACATGCTATGGGAGTTGTTGCAGACTGGGGGACATGCTATAGGAGTTGTTGCAGACTGGGGGACATGCTGTGGGTGTTGTTGTAGATTGGGAGGGACGCTATAGGTGTTGTTGTAGATGGAGACATGCTATACGATGTGTTGTAGACCAGGGACTTGCTATAGGAGGAGTTGTAGACCAGGCTTATGCTATAGGGGTTGACCAGGGACAAGCTATATGGAGTGTTGTAGACTGGGGACATTATATAGGCATTGTTGGATTTATGCTACCCACAGCCCTCTTAAAAACTACATGTGCCACATTTGAGTTGAGTTTTCTCTTCCATTATAAGATCCATTATAAAAGATCACAGGGGGAGAAAAACAAAAAACATATGAAGAGAAAAGATGGACAGCACAGAAAAAAGTAAGACAATGTGAAATAAATAAACCAAAGAAGTTGTGGAGCCGAACAGGGCCAACCAATCAGAAGCCGATTAATCGATTATTGAAAAAGTTGACAACTTTTTCAATAATCGATTATAATCGATTATGTCGATTAGTTGTTGCAGCCCTACATATTTTCTAATACAATGTGTATAATGGGCTGTTTAATAGTACAGTCTTTACAGAGTGACTGTGCTTTACCACTCCCTTTACATCAGTGTAGTCTTTCACACAAAACTTGAAACTGTTTGGGGGCAGTGGTGATCAACTTATTTTATTTTAAGGTCCGCACATAATATTAAATAAATGTAATGCTACATAAAGCTGTTAGAGACTACAGACATGCTATAGGAGTTGTTGCAGACTGGGGACATGCTATGGGAGTTGTTGTAGACTGGGGACATGCTATGGGAGTTGCTGTAGACAGGGGACATGCTATGGGAGTTGTTGTAGACTGGGGACATGCTATGGGAGTTGTTGCAGACTGGGGACATGCTATGGGAGTTGTTGTAGACTGGGGACATGCTATGGGAGTTGTTGTAGACTGGGGACATGCTATGGGAGTTGTTGTAGACTGGGGACATGCTATGGGAGTTGTTGCAGACTGGGGACATGCTATGGGAGTTGTTGCAGACTGGGGACATGCTATGGGAGTTGTAGACTGGGGACATGCTATGGGAGTTGTTGTAGACTGTAGACACGCTATGGGAGTTGTTGTAGACTGGAGACACGCTATGGGAGTTGTTGCAGACTGGGGACACGCTATGGGAGGTGTTGCAGACTGGGGACATGCTATGGGAGTTGTTGCAGACTGGAGACATGCTATACGATGTGTTGTAGGCCAGGGACTTGCTATAGGAGTTGTAGACCAGGCTTATGCTATAGGGGTTGTTGACCAGGGACAAGCTGTAGGGAGTGTTGTAGACTGGGGACATTATATAGGCATTGTTGGATTTATGCTCCCCACAGCCCTCTTAAAAACTACATGTGCCACATTTGAGTTTTCTCTTCCATTATAAGATCCATTATAAAAGATCACAGGGGGAGAAAAAAGATATATGAAGAGAAAAGATGGACAGCACAGAAAAAAGTAAGACAATGTGAAAGAAATAAACCAAACCATTACCTACTAGAAGCCAGTCTAATGAATATTTTCCCTTCACTGGCTCAAGTAAGCACCAAAAACAGACTACTGTCTGCAAGAGCCTCAAGTTGGGCACCAAAGATCTAGGTTACAAATCCGGTTATTTATTCACAGAAAGCACTTGGGAACAATGCAAACTAGCATGCAAGCTACCACTAGAGGAAGGAACCTAGAAACCTACATATAAAACCTGATCACAAGCAGCAAGCACAAGCAGCAAGCACGTGAAAAGCAAGTCAAAACCTAGTTCTCATTGAGCACACCAGAAAACAAAGTTCAAATGTGCTCTTGAAACTTGAAAAATGTAAAAAAAAAAAAAAGAATATGCCAGAATGAAAATATGGAAGATACTAATGCTTATTTGTATTTAAAAGGTGAAGGCTCTACAACACTACATTTACATATTAACAATTCTCAACAAAGTGTAGGGCGCTTTACACATTAGTCTATTTCTGGAGTTATTTCATGCATTTCATTAACACGAATAAGATGCACTCCATGTTCAAAATACAATACTTTCTATTGAATTTTACATCAAAGAATAGACTGAAATGTGTCAGAAATGTGCAGGTGTTATTTCATACATCTTAAGGGAGTGAGTTTGTTCTCATTTACAATACACTAAATTAAAGCAGCAAATACCACAATCGCCTTTTAAACACCTAAATCTTAATACCATATAGCACCTCAATTTGTTTGTACATAAATGTATATGGTTTGCATCTGTGCATAGAATTTTGGTACACTTCTGATGACATTATTCTGTACTCTGAAGCTCCCACTGGGCTCTGCTTGTTAGCATTTTTAGCAACCCAGAGTTGTATGCAGATCTATACATTTCACTCTAATTAAATAAACAGTTTTAGTCTATTAACATTCCGAGAAACTATACATTTCCGTATCAGACATCCCGAGAAGACTACTGAATAACTACAAACAGGGTTTTCTTTGGAAAGCATCCAATTTTCTGCACGGAGATCTGAAACTTTAATAGAGCAACACATTATCAAAAAGCTCAGCATGAAACAGTGCTGCCTACATACAATGTTAAAGTACCTATATTGTAGAAAGACGCGGACAAATTAGGAGTACGAAGAAATCACAAAGCTGGCAGCATCAATCAAAATGCCACAAAAGAATTTTAAAGCTGAACTCCAGGCAAACACCGTACACAGATGAAATACATATAAAGGGAGCTGTTTTACCGAACAAACGATTTGTATTTATGTCCATCCAGTATTGAGATATAAACAGCTCTGTCACACAGCACAGCCAGGCACATGATACCACTTGTTACAGTTAGGAAATACACCTGTGTCATCCCCCAGACACCCTGCCTGCTTACTGGAAAGGAGCAGCAGCAGACTGATAAGATGCTTGCTGCGAGACCCATTGAAATTCTCACTAACTGCCCACCATCATACCCTCTGCTCTCCTTACCTGCACATACTGCCCAATGTCACATGCTCCGTACTGCTCCCCTGCACATACTGCCCAGTCATGTCCTCCGCTCTCCTCCCCTGCACATACTGCCCACTGTCATATCCTCCGCACTCCTCCCCTGCACATACTGCCCAATGTCATATGCTTGGCACTGCTCCCCTGCACATACTGCTCAATGTCATATGCTCCGCAATGCTCCCCTGCACATACTGCCCAATGTCATATGCTCCGCACTGCTGCCCTGCACATACTGCTCAATGTCATATGCTCCGCAGTGCTCCCCTGCACATACTGCCCACTGGCATATGCTCCGCACTCCTACCCTGCACATACTGACAACTGACATATCCTCTGCACTCCTCCCCTGCACATACTGCCCACTGTCATACCCTCCGCACTCCTCTCCTGCACATAATGCCCACTGTAAAATCATCTGCACTCCTCCCCTGCACATACTGCCCAATGTAATTTGCTCCACACTGCTATCCTGCACATACTGCTCAATGTCATATGCTCCGCACTGCTCCCCTGCACATACTGTTCAATGTCATATGCTCCGCACTGCTCCCCTGCTCATACTGCCCACTGTCATATCCTCCGTACTCCTCCCCTGCACATACTGCTCAATGTCATATGCTCTGCACTGCTCCCCTGCACATACTGCTCAATGTCATATGCTCCGCACTGCTCCCCGGCACATACTGCTCAATGTCATATGCTCCGCACTGCTCCTCTGCACATACTGCCCACTGTCATATGCTCCGCACTGCTCCCCTGCACATACTGCTCAATGGCATATGCTCCGCACTGCTCCCCTGCACATATACTGCTCAATGTCATATGCTCCGCACTGCTCCCCTGCACATACTGCTCAATGTCATATGCTCTGCACTGCTCCCCTGCACACACTGCCCACTGTCATATGCTCCGCACTGCTCCCCTGCACATACTGCTCAATGTCATATGCTCCGCACTGCTCCCCTGCACATACTGCCCACTGTCATATCCTCCGCACTCCTCCCCCCGCACATACTGCCAAACTGTCATATGCACTGTCTTACCCTCCACACTTCTCTCGTGTACATACCGCCTGCTGTCATACTTTTTATGCCCCTCCTTTACATAAACGGTCTACTCTCATAACCTCAGCACACCTCCCCTCCCTGCTCCTACTGCCTGATCTTCACACTCCTCCCCCTCTGCATATTCTGCCTATTGCCATGCCCATTACACTCCTCCCCTGCATTTACTGCTGCCGTCATACTCTCCATACCCCTCCATTGCACAAACTGTCCACTCTCATACCCTTAGTAGGCATCACCTCTCTGCCCTTCCTGCCTACTCATACCCTTTCCATCCTCCCCTGCACATGCCGTCCATTGTCATATGCTTTGCACTCCTCGTCTTTACATACTGCTCACTAAGACAATTTAGAATTTTTTGTAATATCCCTAAATCCCTGTCTTTTCTGAAAGAGGCAAACTTTGCCTCGTATATCTACTTTTTAAAATTTTGCCCATAAATTTTGTTAAACTTTAAATAACAATCACAGGTTTTGTGAACCGTCCCCTACAGCTTGTGAGCTCACCTCTGTCTCTCAGCCCTCTTCTCTTATTAGCATGTTCTTTGATAGTGCAAGAACACTACAGCACAACTGACTGGCTGAGTCTACTGCTTCTTCCTCTGCCAGCCTAAGCTCTGCTGCACAAGGACAACAAGAGACTTATAACAAGCCACAGTCAGGTACGTACACTGCTTGTATTTGTAAAAATACATTAAAGCCCAACTCTGGGAAAATTGAATGTTTGCGGCTGACCCCTGCACTGCAAGGGTTTAATGGCTTGTTAATGCCTAGGGGACAGGAAAAGACTGTTTTGTTTACCTGATCTCTGTTCACCCAGACAGTGCTCTCCTCTCCATCTGTGGACTGTCTCTCAGCATCATTACATGCAATGCAGGGTTATGGAGCCTACACTGTACTTGATGAGTATAGCGGTCTTTAGATCGCCAGAGAGAAGGGGATAAGAAGCTGCGAGGACCGGTCTAGATGGAACCTGCGGAAGTGGGGATTAGATACATAAAAGAGCTTTTTCCTGTCCCCCAGGCATAAAAAAACAGTTAATCTTTGCAGTGCAGGGCAGCCCCGCTGCAAGGGAAAACTTTTATTTCCTTGGGCTTTAAAGACGTATTAATAAGTACAGAGCTGCAAGATGTGTTTCTTTCATAGCTGCGTGGAGCTCAGCTTTAATTTACCAGCGGTATAAATGGTAATTTCAAGGAGTCCAACTATCCCTATTGGAAATGTAACAGATTACTCAACAGGAGGGGTGGAGATACCATGTTGTAGCAGTAGAAGCGAGACTTTAAGATGGGAGCAAAGAATATCACCAGTTCAGTCCCCAAGAGTCAAAGAAAACAGCTCCATAGAATCCATAGATTCCACCTGTTTGCTAAAATATCACTTTTATGTAAACTGGCCCTTTATTTTAAACAAGAATCATAAAAGTTATAGTCTGTTTACAGATTGTATGCTTTGAATTGGTCACTTACTTCCCCAAACAGGAATGTCTTTGCTTTCTGCTTTCATCACAATGGAGGCCATTGTCATTGTTACTGGAATGGCATCAAAATAAGAAGAATGTGGCGCCAAGGTCAGAATTGGAGCCTCAGCAGGCAGGGCTTGTCTTCCCTTTACGGTCACCCAGTGGAAGCCACCAGCAAACCACATTGTACGCATAATTACTTTTAAGGTAATGTCCAATATCCTGCAAATAAGCATAATCAAAGCAAACCATTATTAAAACATGAGATTGCATTGCCCCAACCAAGCCTTTAAAGACAAACAACACGTATGTTAATACAATTTACTGATATATTTCTGACACTTTATTTCTGTACTGTAATTGGAAATGTAATGCCTTTTACTGGCTTCAAGAATGGACTCCTTCCAGGCTTCATAGCTGCAGGATTGTGATACAGGCACTGCTCTGGGTTTGGAATTCATAAAACCCACACCGTCTATGGACTGTCCACTACGTGGTCTTTAATTGCAACGTTGCTGTGTATAAAAGGACAGGGGGTATGGCAACAACTAAACTGTGCTAACTCACATAAGCATGTGTACAGAATGGTCACCAACATTTCCCTGCTGGCCTGCATGAGCTGTCGATAGGAGAACCGCAAATAATTATAAATGCAAATGCTTGAAAAATCACACAAATTAAATACATTTCTGGACATAACTGGATCTCCTTAATGTTAGAAGGTAGATCAAGGTTATTCTAGTAAATGTGGAAAAAACAAAAGGAGCGCTGCTACCGAAAAAGTATTAATGATTTGATGTAATACATTAATAATAATAACATATGTGTAGAAAGTGGTGGATAACTCACTATTTGGTGGAGGCAGCAAGAAATCCCTGACGAAAGGATGGATAGTTGTGTGCTCACATGGAAGAAATCCTGCATGATCCTATGGCTGGAACAGGGGAGGAAGGCTGGTGTGTCATGGAGCCTCTGGTTGCAACATGTGTCAGCAGCTATCACTTGGAATGAGCATTTCCCGGGATGTAAATGGTGATGTACGGGCTCAGCTGGCCAGGCTGTTCGGAGAAAAGTAAATGCCGCCGCTCGGTTTACGATATTAAGCTACCGCTGTGTGGGGAAATTGGTGGAAGTCCGTGGGGGAGAGAGAATTCAGGCAAGGTTGTAAAGTAATCCTTCTCATGGAACGGGGTAAGGTGTATAGGCTACGCATTTCGAGGCTATGCCTCTTTGTCAAGCCAGAAGGGAGAAGAACAAGAACTGGTGGGAGTATGAGAGACTTTTTAAATTTGACAGGTGGGCGGAGCAAACGGCCGTGTAGTGGTTTCATTGGTGGGAACATAGAAAGAGGCTGGTCAAGCGTTACAGTTGTCGGCAATAGAGCCGCATGTTCCGAAAGCTGAGACAATTAACAAAATCAACTAAAAACTTAACTTTTAATGGATTGACTAATAAGTATAGTGCAGGGGTGGTGGAATCCTCCCATTGCTCACAAAAGATTTAGATGGGAGCAAATGGAGTGAAGTATAATGAATTATAATAAAATTGATTAATTAAAAGATATAAATGAATGGGACAAAAATTATTCCAATGTGTCTATTATGTTACAGATTATATGGAAAAGGAATCTAAAAAGTGTAAGTGTATTAAAAGTGGATGTACGTATTAAGTATGTAAAAATTGTTGCCACATATTTGGTAAGAAGTATATATAATATATTAAAAATCCATGAATATATTAAAATTAAAAGTTGGAAAAAGGGAAGGACTGTACGCAGGGGTCCTCTCCCTGTTAAAGGAGACAGGAGACCGCACACCTTACACCACCATTAATTTGCACCCCCAGTACTGCGCTCACCATTTTTTCTGGTTTGTTCTAGTAAATGCCCCTTTCATACCATTGCAGTGTGTTACCACAAGCACTTTACCTTGCCTGTTAAATGCCATTACTTAATTTTGCAGGTTTTACCAAACCACAAAAAATGCACATGCTCCCTTTTTTGGAAAACTCCCAACAAACATGCACTGGCATTACATTCAGAATGTGTGATACGGCAAGGTCCGCGCCAATGTATGTTAACAACTGTTAACAACGGGCATTACCACAATAAACAGATTTGAAGCCAGCCTTACAGCTATCTCAATCAAAGACCAGAAAATTGTGGCTTTCCTTTATGAAATCACACCACCAACAAAAATGGAAACATTCATTGCCAGAATTCCAAAAATACACAAAAAATATACTTTAAAAAATAACCACCCTGGCACTGGCTTGAAAACAGATTGTTGTGTGGTTCATAGTAGTATGTGCAGCCTTGTTCCACTGAGTGCATTAATTACCGATATGTATAGCGGTTCCTAATTATGGTATTAGAGTCTAATTGCAAGCCAAGAAGAGGATGTATTTATTTTGACACCTTTCTTAACACCAGTTCTCTTCTATTTACTGGCTGGGAAAAGAAGGGTGGACACTGCCGATGCTACAAATAAAAATGCCTTAGCGTATATGTGTTCACGTGTTTGTAGAGAAGACATTTTCCTTTATGGTGAACTAGCAAAAGTGGGCCTGTTCTAGACGGCAAGGTTGAAGATGGGGGGGGGGCTGGAATGGTGGCAGTGCAGTGGTCAAAGCAGGGAGATTGAAGGTGGTGGCAGGTGTAATAGTGAATTTAACAGCATGCAGGTGCGGCCCTGAGGGAATCAGCGTGCAGGGGGAGTATTGAGGGGACAGGGATTAGATGTTGTAGTTAGATTGGGGGAATGCAGGCAGCGGTGAAGCTGAGATGCAATGTTGAAATTGAGAAACTGTAATTAAACTAAACCTTCTCTTCAACAATCTAATGCTTATCCTATACTATGATTGTTAACCTCAAATTTGCATTTTAACATGAAACCAAGGCGTAAACAAAAATGGCATTTTACTTCCTACTTTTATAAGAACTATAGAATTGCTGGGAAATCCAATATTATAATGGGCTGAGGATTCCTATTTTGCTATGAACAATGATTCACACTGCGCAAACACAATACTGTCATCTGATATAGCCAAACATTTCCAGATTGTGTAGCACTTTGCAGTAAAAGTGTTTGTTTCTCTTATTTATTGCAGTAAAAGTGTTTTTTTATTTATTGAGGTCACAGGTCTAGTTTAAAAATGAAATAAATTATGCAAACCATTTAGACATGATGTTTATTAATAAATACATAGGGAGGAATTTATCAAAACTGGAGCAGACAAAATCTGGAGCAGCTGTGCAGGGCAACCAATCAGCTTCACTCTTCAGTTGGTTCAGTAAAGACTTGAAAATGAAAGAGAAGCTGATTGGTTGTCCTGCACAGCTGCTCCAGATTTTGTCTGCTCCAGTTTTGATAAATTCCCTTCATACAGTTTCAAACTAAATAGGGTTGAATTTATGAATCCATACATAGTAAACTTGTAATGCTGATAACTCTAGAATGGTGATGACAAGAATGTTGTTTCCATAACAACCGAAAGCATAAGCTGACTTGATAAAAAGCATTGTAAAACTTGTTATGGAGCATGATTCATAAAAACCTGAATGCAGAAATGTGTAGCTGCTGCAAGCTACAGGCTCATCAGGTTCCATCTGTTCATCATACAGTGAAAAATGAGAGGCATGAATAAGAAACCAATGACTCCTGCTTACCGTCCTGTGCATCAGTCAAGAATTTGAGCTGTGGCCCTTCCAATATCACCTGACAAAGTTTTATTTAAAAATTGAAAGAGCTCAGCAGAAAAAAAGCTGGCCAAACAGTGACTGTAGCCAAGCAGCTGCAGTCATCGTACAAGTATTTTGACAGCTGCGGGTGCTGACTATCAGAATACAATAACAGTCAGCTGAAAATTTGCCCATCCATGCTGTTTAGTGTGAATTGGGGAATTAATGATTTATCTTATTAGTTTATGAATCCCATTGGGCTAAATGAGAAAAATATTTGTAGGCATGTCCAGGTTAAGGGACAGCTGGTGGCTCTCAATCTTCAGGGCAAGTACCTTTCTATTTTTTGACTGTGTGTACTCTGAATTTGCAGGCTAAGGGCCTGTTCACATGATTTTCAGGTCCTGATCAGGTCCGGATCAGGTGTGGATCAGGTGTGGATCTGCAGACGCGGTGCTACTCATGCAGTGCATTTTTGACGCGTTTTTGGTCCAGATGCTGACAGTTCATATTTTATTTTTTCAAGCCGTGGGGCTGTCAGTATGCAGATTCTTCCTCTGAGGTCACTTGTAACATCGACTTCCCTTTGTGTATGTAAAGCTGGTGATCAGACATGTATCACATGTTTGCAGGCATGTTGATGGTACTGTACACTGAGTATTCATCATACAGCTCTGATGCTATATCTAGCCACTTTTTATTTTTTTGATGCACATTTTTAAACTGTGTGTGGCGGGGGTCGTAGAGCATTGGCGCATGCTCCATCAAGCCGACGAATCGCTCAATGTCCAGGACCATGTTAGTCATGACTGCTGGTTTTCCTCTGATGCTCCACCACAACCAGGAAGTCCAACAATGATGACATCATAAAAAGTGGAGCAAGAATAAATTTTTTTTTGCTTAGCTGCATTGCGTTCCATTTGCGTTTTTGACCGTTTCCTGACCGCACAAAATGTGAGATACAGTATTTTGTCAGTCAGGAACGGACTGCGCACGAGAGAACTGTAGCCCATAAAACACATAGGGATACATTGGGATGCATATTTAGTGCAGGAGCGTACGGATCAGTTCAGCACAGAATACGGACGTCGTGCGAACAGGCCCTAAGGCTTTGTTCACAAGAACAAACTTGCACAGGCGTCCCCATGCAGATGCGGCCACTGTTGCTCTGGCATTTACTTGAATGTGTACAACGGCCACATCTGTACACATTTAAGTAAATGAGATTAAATTAATATCATACGATTACATGCAGTTTGGAATAGATGACTGTCACAGGATGCAGAATAGATGCGTCCACCGACAATCAACTATTCCAAACCGCATGTAATCCGATTGTATACGATTGCTGACTGCCGCTCACAGATGTGGCCACTGTCACTCTGTCATTTACTTCAATGTGTACAGCGGCCGCATCAAAACGTGGACACCTGGCATTCCTGCAGCAGGAATCCGTAGGTTCTTGTCTCAGGGATCCCAGAACGCCCCGTGTGAATGTGGCCTAAGCCCATAACATCCTCCGTGTGAGAGGACTCAACCTATT